TGGGAAGGCGGGGGGCACCATTCAGGCCCGGGATGGAGAGGTGGGGGGGGGACGCCATGGCTGACGCCATTCAGGTCCGGGTGACGCCATTCAGGCCCGAGAGGAGGGAGTCGGGGGGGGAGGAGGGGGGGGCTGACGCCATGGCTGACGCCATTCAGGCCCCCTGACGCCATTCAGGCCCAGAGGGAGAGGGAAGGAGGGGGGGGCGCCACGGCTGACGCCATTCAGGCCCGAGATGAGGGAGTCGGGGGGTGGAGGAGGGGGGCTGATTCCATGGCTGACGCCATTCAGGCACGGGAGGGGGGAGGGTTTGGGGGAGCTCACGCCATTCGGGCCCGGGAAGGGGAAGGGGGGAGGGAGCTCACTCAAGCTTCGCTCTGTCGGGGGGGTGGGCTGACGCCATAGCTGACGCCATCCGGGAGGGAAGGGGAAGGGGGGGGGAGGGGGGGGACGCCAGGGCTGACGCCATTCAGGCCCGGGAGGAGGGAATCGGGGGAGGGGCTGACGCCATGGCTGACGCCATTCAAGCTTGGGGGGGGAGGGGGGGGGAGCTCGCCCAAGCGCCATTCAGACCTGAGAGGGGGGAGAGGGGGGGGGAGCTCGCTCAAGCGTCGCTCTGTCGGGGGGGAGGGGGCTGACGCCATAGCTGACGCCATCCAGGCCCAGGAGGGGGGGGGAGGGGGGGGACGCCATGTCTGACGCCTTTCAGACCCGTGAGGGGGGGTCAGGGGGGAGGGCTGACACCATGGCTGACGCCATTCAGGCCCAGGAGGCGGGAGAGGGGGGGGAGCAGCTCGCTCAAGCTTCAGTCTGTCGGGGGGGGGGGGGGGCTGACGCCATGGCTGACGCCATTCAGGCCCGGGAGAGAAGTGGGGGGGGAGGGCCGACGCCATGGCTGACGCCATTCACGCCCGAAGAGGGCTCCAAGACTGCCCAAGACGGCCCAAGAAGCCACAAGGAGGCCCCCAAAAGGCCCCCAAGATATTCGACAACTTCCTCCAGCGCGCTCCCAAGAAGCCTCTAGGATGCCTCCAAGAAGCCCCCCGATAAGCCCAGGAGCGCCCCCCAAAGGTGTCATACATCCGCTACGTCAACATCCCATGAGTTTGGCTGTTCACGCGAGATCGACACTTTCGAATATCCGAAGGTTGCCCAAGCGAGTTCAACATCTCTATGTTATGAGGATGTCTCGAGCGAATGCTCTTCCTTTTAAACCAGAAGATCATCCGTTGCAAGCAGAATCGGTAGCACCCCGGATCGGCCGCACTGGCCAGAGGCCACTACAATATGGACTAAAGAGAACAATATGTTGAAAAACTTGTCACTCGACGACTCGGCATTCGTGGTCCCCTTGGTGTCGAATGAACATGCGGCCCAAATGGCGCAACTTCCCATTATATCCGTGTCTTCCGTTCTCGGGCTTGGAAAAAGAGGGCACGAAACCGTCGGTTGCGACCCACGTCAAAATGTTTGGAGCGGGATCCCCCGACTACACGACATATCGGAATTCGATACTGGAAGACTTCAAAAGTCTCTTCAAGACAGATCTGGCACCTCGAGGGCTTTGGAGGCTCATCTTGCTGTTCGCCCTGGGCGATGAGGAAGACCGACGTGTGGAGTGGGGCGAAAAAGCGCCGTGGCGTCCGAGTGCTGCAGCGAATGCAAGGCGGGTGCCAGGCAGTGCGCCGCCGACCGCCCTATCCGCCCCCGGCGCCAGTTTCAGCTGCGTCGCCATGAAAGGCAGCCCCAACCTTAGGTCGGGCCTGTCCCACTACAGGGGCGTTTTGGACGAAAAATAAAGAAAACCCCCAGAACATTCAAAAGATGCCCAAACATACTCAAAAAATTGTCCCCGGACTATTGTTTGACAATTTTTGAATATTCCCCCTGTAGAGGGACAGGCCCGACTTAACCCTAACCTTCCCCCGAAACGGTTCTCCAGGGGAGGCGCTGCCTTGGGGCATGCGAGGGGGCGCCATTGCCTCTCCCGAAGGCAGGCAGAGAGCATCGCCAGTGGACAGACGTGCGGCGAGGAGCGGCACGGCGAGGCCCCTGTTTTTTACCTTCGGGAACCCTCGCGCACGCATGTAGCATGCCTTGCGACCGCTAGCCAACAGCAGGTTCGCGTGGAGATTCGCTTCCTTGTGGGACTTTGTCATGGACTGAAAAGGGCTGGCTTCGACGATAGCTGTAATTTTGCGTTTCGTGCTGGTCCGGGATGCGGCGCTCGGCCCGAACCAACAATCACGAAGTGGCGTGATCAAGGGACAGCTCCGGGAGATGTAAAGTAGTCACCGTGATCTGCACAAGCTGCTGCACGTAAGGCTGCAGAGCATACTCGGCAGCAGTGGCTGGGCGGAGATGACGGGGCCTGCGATCAAGGCTACTGTCACCCGATCATCGGCCACCTTTTTTACCCGGAGCTCGCAGAGGAGTGCTTCGACAGCGGTTCTCAGGAGGACCGAGCCGTGCGCAGAATTACATCAAAGCTTGAGGAAGTCCATGGCATCGTGAGATATGCTGCCATGCTCATGAGTGGTGGCGAGGTAGAAACCTTAGCAAATTCCTGCAAATATTTGGAGACTGCTTTGCAAGGGCTCAGGAATGTGTCATCTATCCGGAAAGACTTCGCATGGCAAGTACGGCCGAAGGCCCGCAAAGCCATGACTCAACTTATTTCGGCTTCGCCAATGAGCCCGCAAGTTCTGCTGGGTGCGGAATATGAAGCTGGAGCCTCTCATCGAGTTCGGTGCTCTGCCGTGAAGGGTGTGTGGGGGCCACGTGCGCAGAGGGCTGTCATCGCAAAGCGATGGACGGGCTTGCTGCTTCGACTCGAGGAAGGCTTTCGAGGCACCTTACTATGGTTATATACGACTGCGGTTGATCTTCGTTTCTTCCTGCTCGCCCCTGCCACGTCCTGGTTGTGCGCTTCGCTGGTCCATTTTCCAAGTTTCCTTCCTTCGCCTCCGTCCTTCCCCTCCCGCCATCCCGCACTCGTTCGTCACTCCCACTTCCCCCCTTCCTCCCCCCCACGCTAACTCTTCCCCGCTATAGCGGAGACGCCCTCTCGGCGCGACGCCGCCCACTCAATGTGGTGGACAAATAGGAACGTCGAAGGGCCCCACGAAAGGGGCCTTCAAGCTCCAGCCCGCATGCTTGAGTGCTTGAGTGCTTGCATGCTTGCCCGCCTCCTTGCGTGCCTGCGTGGTCACGTGCCCCGGTAAGCCAACAAATACTTGGGCATGGGGTCCGTTGCAGCGGTCGCCGTGCGAAACGTTTTTGTATGGGCAACGCCTTTTGGTGTGACACCGCCCGCGTTCTACGCGGTCAGACCGACGCGTCGCCACACTTGCTCGTTGAAACCTGTGGCGCAGATTCCATGATGTATCGCCGCGCAGTTTGTTCTCGACGCGCCCAAGTGGACGGCACCGACACCACGGCAAACCCACGGCAAACCCTGCGCCCCGCGCAACAAGCAGACGAAGCTGGCACCGCGAGAAACCCACGGTAAACCCGCCGCGCCCGAGGCGGACTTTGCCCTGGTGTCCGCGCCGCCCTTCCAAAGACTTCAGGCTACGCGTCGGAAGAAGCGGCGCGACGAAGCTTGTCCGCCCCTGTAGTACGCTTGTCGCACGGCAAGCCAGGAGGGGGAGAAACGGCTGTCGCGGTTTCCGCCAGCCCCGCGCCCTCGTCTCAAGGAGCGCTCTGTCCGGGGAGCGGGCCTCGAACGTCTCGCTCTCCAAGGGGGGTCGTTTCCCTAACCTCTGTCCCGGCCGGGGTTACGAAGGATGAGGGCGCCAATACGGATGAGGGAGAGTTTGGAGAGTTTGGAATGAATGGGGGGGTAAAGGAAGGGGGAGTGAGCAGGCGCGCACAGAAGCCGCCGATACTGCGCACAGAAGCCACCGGGCTGCACTGTGATAGCCGTCGTGCAGTTCTCAACGCCCTGGCGCCCCCTCCGGCGGCCCCAGGGCGGTGGTGTCGAGACCTACTCGGGGGGACCGTTGAGGCCAGCTGGGGCCACCTGGGGAGGCTTGTTGTGGCCAGCCGGCGTTACCTGGGGGGGGGACTGCTGTGAGCACCCGGAAGCCTTCCCAGCAGCGTCCGCACCACTGCCACGAGGGCGGCGTGTGAGGAGCGACGGGCATGGATCGGGGGCGGCGGGCGTGGGCCGACCACGTGGTGTCGGCCCCGGCGGGCGGCCCGCACAAAGCGGGAAGGCTTGAATTGCAGTCAACCTGTATAGTAAGCATGCGCGATAAGAATGCAAGGGCCTTGGACGCCCATTTCGAAGCTTTTCGAGCGGGGCGCGGCCAGCGAAAGCGGCGAAGGATGGACCGAGGAGGCGAGGATGCAAGGTACCCTTGGGAAGGTTGCCCATCCTAACTATGCGTGTTAACTGAAGTCACTGTCGGATGTCCGTTTATTCTTCTCCGGGCGCACCAGCGCTCAAAGAGTTCATGACGTCCTTGCAAACTTGCTGCGAGGTGGCCCCTGGGCACGCTCTGACCGCTTGGGAGGATTCCGTCGCCGATACCCAGTCTCGCAAGACCCGCTCGGTTTGGTGAGGCCCTGCCCCGGGGGCGAGGCTCCGAAAAGCTCGGGACGTGGACGCGTGGGGACCAAGAAGTCAGCGTGTCGCGCCGAAGCGTGGTGGGCCGGAACCGGCGGAGCGACACGCTACTCCTCCAAAAGCTCCCGACCGCAAATTTCCGGCGCTCCGCGCGGACTTCTTGGATCCGAGCTGGCCCCCCCTCTCTGGCGCGCGGAGGGTCAGGGTAGAAGTTGGCCCTGGACCCTGGGGATGTCCCTGGGACCGCCTTCTGATCCTGAATCGTCGTCTGACTGTCCTCCTCCTCCTCCTCCTCCTCCTCCTCCTCCTCCTCCTCCTCCTCCTCCTCCTCCTCCCCCTGGGCGCCGAAAGGGCGACATGAGCTCGTCTCTGGGGAAGAATTTCCAGGACACCATGCCCCCAAGACCCCTTCCCTTTTCGCAGCATCCTGGATCTCGGCCTTCGCGGCCTCCGCCACGATCACGGTCATGAGTTCCTCGCATTCCTTGGCCTTCACTGTGCAGATCTCCTGCTTCGTCTCCAGATCAACGCTCATCTCCGCCACCTCAAGGACAAAGCCGACGACACCGAACACGGCGAAGATGACGACAACCACGAAGACGAGAGACGGCGACGACAGACAGTGACGACAGACAACAGACCTGTGTGGAGGCGTCGTCCAGCTTGCTGAGACCGTTGCGGAGCTTGTCGCCCGCACTGCCGATAGCCTTCTGCTTCTCGTGCAGCATGGCCATGTAGCCCTGGACCAGCTCGAGGTAGTTTGTGGGCGTCACGTAGTTCATCCGCTTCTGGTCGCGAAACATCTCGTCGGAGAACTCGGCCACGACGGTGTGAGAGAGCCCGAAAACGTTCGCGACAGGCTCCTGGAACTGCTCCTCGAGCTCGCCGTCGACGAGGAACTTCAGCGCGACCTCGGTGAGGGCCTCAGCAGGCCACGGGAGGAGCCATATGGCAGTGGAGCAGCTGACGAGCGAGGGATACATGCGGCAATAGTCGCGGAAATTCTCCCCAATGTAGGAGAGGCAGAAAACAACGTGCAGATTCTCTCGCACGCGCGAGATGAAGAATTCGTACAAAGCCTCAGGAGTGAAGGGCACCCCAGCTTCTTTGGCTTTCTTTTCGACGGAGGAGCGCACGGCGCTAAGTTCGTCTCCTGTGTACAAGTTTGGCACCTCACCACTGCCGAGCAAATTGGCCACGTCCTCCAAGAAACTCTCCTCGACAATCTCTGTGTCAGAGAAGAGGAAGGTTGTCTGCTGGCCCTTCACACCAGCCTTCTCGTAAAGCTTCTTCAGATCTTCCAAGAACTGTGGTTTCCTGTATTGCTTGGTGATCTCGATCTGGAAGCAAGACAGCTGGCCGATAAACGAAGCAAGCCGTGTCTGGCAGTGGCGACCAGAGCCACCCACGCCCACCAGGAGCGCGTTTCCTCTGGGCTGCTTCAGGATCCGCAGAATCTTGCAACAAAGATCGATGGCATCCTTGAACATGACGAGGGCCATGGGGGTCTTCTTGAAGAACGCATTATAGTCGTCCACCTTGGCCTCCATGAAAGCCTTGAGACCCTTACGGTCCGACATCAACTCGTAGGCAGGGTCCTCGGCCTCGGGATTGGAGAGGTCCAGCCCAGCAAAAACCATGTCGGGGTCATCTCCGGCTATTTCTTTGAGGCGCATTTGCAGGCCGTTCTCCATGCAGGAATCGACGAGACGCCTAAACTTCTCGCGGTCATCAATATTGATTAACCTGTCCATGAATACACGGCAGCACTCGTGGTACCAGAGCCGCAATACATGCTCCTTGTCCTCGTACAACTTTGGATCAGCTAAATAGAGGCCTTGGAAGACTTTGGATATGTCGCGCAGGTTGAACAGGTAGTGGCACTTCTCGGGCGTTGGGAGGAAGCCCTCCATGACGGCCCCGTAGAGCGCGATGGTGGTCAATGTCAGTGGCTCTGCCAGACTCTTAATGTCTTCCACCCTGATCGGGGGGAACAGAAGGGATGTCGATACCGCTACCCCACCAACAGGCCCCAAAGTGCATTCTGATTAGGATTCCGAGGAGGATCACGCCGTTGCAGCGACGACGCCCCGTGAGGCCCCGAGGGCCGAAACGAGGGAGGAGATCGGCACCAACATGTTCACGTTCCTCTGACCTGAAGTCGTTCAGCTTGTTCGTGGCTATGGTCTGGTAGATCCTCTTCACCTGCGTCTCCGCCGGGTTCACGAAGCAGACGTTGTTGCAGGCGCTCTGCAGCCGCTCGGTGATCACCGCCCGGCCGCCTCCGGGGGGCCCCATGGCGGAGACGAGGTGCAGGTCCTGCACGTAGCGCAGGCTCTGCTTCTTCAGGTCGTACCTCGGCGGCGCGCAGGAGGGGTGGGGCGAGAGGGAGCAGCCTGCTGAGCGGGCGGGGCGCTCCTCAGGAGGGCCCGGATGCCTGATGGGACTGTTTTCCACCGCCACCACTTTAAGTTGGAGGGGGGAAGGAGGAGGAGGAGGAGGAGGAGGAGGAGGAGGAGGAGGAGGAGGAGGAGGAGGAGGAGGAGGAGGAGGAGGAGGAGGAGGGGGATCCCCTCCCCCTCCAACTTATGGTGGTGGTGGTGGAAAACAAGCCCATCAATGCCCCTGGAGCTCCCATCTCAAGAGGCCCTCCTCCACTCGCCCGACCCCTGGTGCGCGCCCCCGGGTGCCAGCAACCGTAGTCCACCCACTGGCGCAACAGCTCGAGCGGCGGTTGCGAGCCGAACGTGTCCTTCCGTGGCATGTTGAGGTCGTCGACGAAGAGGACCATTCGCTTGTTGTTCGGGGGGCCGTACTTGTTCTTGATTCGTTTCTCGATCTTGCTTTCGATGATCTCTTGCGTCTTGCCTGACGACGTCATGGCCGACATGTTTATAGTCAGTGAGGTCCACTCCTTTTCCTCCAAGGCGGCAATGGACTGCTGCACTGCGACAGTCTTGCCCGTGCCCGTGCTCCCCACCAGGAGGCTGTGATGGTGCTTGGCGTTCAAGCATGTCAGGACGAACATGTTCCTGATGGTGTCAACCGTCGGGACAATTATCTTGTGCGGCGGCATGCCCTCGGGGGGCTTGAACGGATTGGGGAGCCGGTCCTCCCACAAACCGAAGTCCAGCTTCTCGAAATTGAACCCGTATTCGTAAACAGTCTGCGAGGGCGGAAAGAGATTCTGGCAATCGGGTATACCGCGCACAGCTTGGTCCACTAGGTACCGGGAATCCTCATTCACAGTCGCACCAAGAGACCACACGAGTGCAAAAGCGAAGATCTTTTCAAGGTGCTCCATGACCTTGTCACCCGTGGAATTAATGTCGAACCGATTGCCCGCGAAGTGGACGAAGGACTCAAAAAGGTTAGTCAGCGAGATCACGGCGTTGCAATCGACGATGGGCGCAAGCTCTACGCACTGCTTGCGCATCTTCAAGCAGGGGGGAATCCACTTGTCTCCCATTGCCTTCACGTCTGCTTGCTTCGCAGCAGGGATGTACTTCTCCACCCAAGACGTGAATATGGGGTGCCAGCCAAGGTCTGGGGGGTCAAAGTACACCATGCCAGCTCGGGAAACCGTCGCCGGTGAGGCTACGGCGAGGTCGGCAACTTCGAAGAGAAGCCGAACCGTAGGAGGCATGCCAATGCGGTCACCGTTGATCAATGTCAGAACTTTGTTGTCATCGAGCACTGTGTTCATGGACTCGATCCACAAAGTGTCTACCGGGCCGTCCAAAACCAGCCACTTCTCGTCAGGCTTTTCGTCCTGGCACATCTGGCGCATAATGCTAGAAAGTACTCCATCGGACCACTCCATTGTGGCCAGGTCATATGCGCCGTATAGCTCGTTCAACGTGATTGATTTTGGATTGATGACCTGATGCTGCACCTTCTCAGCGCCTTCCTGACCGAGTTGCTTTAAAATTGTCTTGGATTTAGCCAGAGCCTTCCAACAAACACTTTTACCTCCCAACGTGCCTCCCACCAGCATGTTTCCGTGCCGAGTGATCTTGGTCTCATAAATGCTGATGCACTTGTTAATTGAATGTTGGTGGCGTTGGCAACCAAATTCTGTCAACACCTGATTAATCGTCTCCTCCAGCTTCCCATAGTCTGGGATAGGCAACTCGCAGCCAGGGAAGATGTCCCCGAGTAGCGCGTTGTAAAGAGGCACGTCCTGCGAGACCCACTTGGGAAAGTTCATGTCGTTAATCGCTCGCATGAGCAAGACCTGCTCGGAGCTGTCCGGATCCCGACGCTTCAAGGCCCCTGCGCAACCCAATACCGATTTGATGTTCCGCAGGCCGAAATCGTAGTGAGCCTGCTTTGACATCTGCTGCTGCATCATCTGGTACAGTGTAAACATCTTTTTGGCCAGGACCTTAAAGTCTTTGAAACCTTCGGACACCAGCATGATCTCCATGATCATTGCAAGGTCTGGCACCATCATCGCCACTGGTCTGAAGAGAGCCTTCAAGTTGTCTGGAAGCTCGGAGCGCCCAGCGTAACCTGGGTTCATGGTGATGAACACAGCGCACGTCCGCTTCAGCGCGATCATCCTCTCCTCAAAAAGAAATTTGTCCCTCTCTTCACGCAGCGCCGCCTGGATCGTCATGATCTGCACGGCCACGACGGAGAGCACGGCCACGTCGATGCGGTTGAACTCGTCAAAGCAGCCCCAGCAGCCGCACTGCGCTAGGCCAGAGAACATGCGACCCAACGACTTGTAGTCCAAGCCATCAGAACAGTTGAAAACAATCACGTACATGGCCATGCCTTTGCCCAAATCCTTTACGGACTCGGTCTTTCCTGTGCCTGCGGGCCCTGCCGGTGCTCCACCACGCTTCAAGTGCATGGCCGTGGTCAGGGTCATGTAGCACCGGTCTGTCATCGGCGTTACCACCAAGCGGCCATTGTTGCCCTGGTACTCGTAGCCGTAAGGGCCAGTGGTATTGGTCTGAAGCACGACGCATATGTGATTCTGATTTGGCTGTCCTGGAGAAATCTCGTCGGTTGGTTCCCTAAGTTCGAAGCGAAGCTGCGACGCCCAATTGAAATTCGACGGAGATTCTGTCTTCTTCGCAATCATTATCCGCCGACCCCGCTCGCCGGAGGTGAGAAGGCGTGTGACATGATTGGCTGCCCCCGTCTCGCGTTCCCCCTACTCCAAGAGCCAAGCTCTCGTTTAAGGGGGTGTATTTTGGCTCGTCGGCGCACCCCTGGAGACTCCGGACCTTCCAAATCTGCATTCCGTGGCCTCGAAGACGCTCCAAGACGATCCAGAATTGCGGAACGATTGGCCCAAGACGCTTGCAATGGCTCGGAGACACCCCAAGACGCCTTCGAGACGCTCCAAGAGCCGTCCCAAAGGGCTCCGAGCAAAAATCGATGGTTTCCATGAAGTTTTTCATTGTTTCTGGGGTTATCGTCTTCTCGAGCTTGCGACTCTCCAAGACGGCCCAGCAGGCCCCATAGACCGGCCCAAAACTGCCCAAGAGGCTCCCACGAGGGCCCCAGGACAGCCGAAGAGGGTTCCAAGACGGATCAGAGCGAAGCCAAAGACGGCCGAAGACCGCTCCAAGAGAGCCCCAAGAGAGGCAAAGAAGGAGAACGCGAACCGAGCATCTTATCCTTACCCCCCAAGAAGCCCCCCAAAGGCCCCCGAGAAGCCCCCAGGCACCCCCAAAGAGGCCCCCCAAAGCCCCAAGAGGCACTCAAGAGGCCCAAAAGATGCCAAAAAACGGGCCCCACGACGCTTCAAAACTGCCTCCAGGAGGCTCCGCCAGGCCCCCAAACAGCTCCCAAGACGCCCAGAAGAGTTCCCAGATAGTGCCCAAGAGACCCACGATGCCTCAACCGTGGACTCCCCGCCTCTTCTGGGGGTCGGCGGAATGGCGCAAGCCTTTTGACTATCCTGAACGTCCCGGGCGTGCACTTCAATTGTAATGAGGGCCACAAGCTTGGCGCGCTCCACTTTGTTGAGGGGCTTTCGGATCATATCTGTCAGCTTTCCAATGTACTTGGTCTGCGATCGTTTCAGCATTCGCAAAGCATTCTTCTGCCCTTTCTCAATCTTCGCCAGCGCAGCCGTGCAATCGGTGGTCCACGCGATTTGGCCAGAGGTGATCAGGAGCTGCCCAGGGAACTCCTTCACCCATCGCTCCTTCTTCATGCTCTTTGGATTGATGTTCCCCTGATGGCACTTCACAAGATGCATGCGCAACGACTCGATCATTCGCTTCTCCACCTGACCAAGCCACTGCTCCACGGCACCCTCAATCTTGACAGCAGGTGTAAGTTTCACTTTCTCCGTGTCTGAGGCCACAAGCCCGATCGCCTCCCACTTCTTATTCTTGTCTCCACCTCCCTGAAGCTCCAATGTGTTGACGCCCTCGAAACACTTCTTGATGTGCTTCTGGACTGCTTCTGGATCTTTCGACTGCCCCAAGATCTCTAAAAGATCGTCGTTCGAGAGGAAGTAGAAACGAGGGAAGGACTGGCGTTTCTTCTCGAGGTAATCGTTCAGGGACTTCTGGATCTTCTCGAGGTCATTCTCAAAATTGGCCAGGGTTTCCAACATCTTCGGCTGGGCACATGCCTTCGTCGCCAATGGTTCTTCGAAGATCTTCTTCATCATGTCCGTGAAACCCTCATGCACGTTGTCGAACATGACTGACTCGTCTGGCAAGTGCGGGCGAATATCTTCAGAGCCTTGGACAAGCTAACCCATAATCAAAATACATCGGGTGGGCGATAAAATTGAATCGGCTCGGCGGAAATCCGCAGCCGAGTCGGAAAACATCGAATCGGCGGACATCGGCAAGCTAGTAGGCCTCCATTGAGACATCGGAATCCAAATCGGAATCCGAAATCGAATCGAATCGGAAGCAGAAGCCATCGAGGTCGAATCGAATCGGAGGAATCGAAATGAGCCCTGCCTCGGAAAACGTTCTCGAGGTACATCCACGCCCTCTGGACAGTCTGGATCGCCTCGCAGACCTCGGAGATGTTCGCGAGTGTCCTCTCCCAGTGCTCGACCTTGGCGGCGAAGGGCAGATAGAACTGCGAGCTCTTGAAGGACGACAGCGACAGGATGTTCTCCTCGAGTGCCTGGTACAGGTCTTCGGTCGTTTGCAATTTGTAGGTGCCACCCTTGTGTTCGACCACGCTGATAACCATGGTAGACCAGACTTTGGCGATGTCGGCGAGACCGTCTTCTATCTTCGCCTCCTTCTTGGCGTCTTCAGCGAGCCGCGCAATCAAGTCCGCATGGCTTATCAGGTTAAGCTCCATAACTCTGTTCAAGGTGAAGTTCTCAGCCTTGGGGTCGAAACTTTCGTTGACTTCCTTCGCAATAAGGTTAATGTGACGTTCGCGCATCGACTCCTGCCGCAGATTCGTAATGACTGGCAGTATGTTGCGGAACGTCTCCATGTCGGCTTTCATCTGCTGGTACGCAGGCCAGTGGTTCACGTTCTTATCCCGGCCCACCAACTTCCTCATTTTCTGCTGGAACTCCATCGCATGCTCATCCATCGAATCAACATTCAGGGTCCTGAAGACGGCAACTCTGAGCTTGTTCCACTCCTGGTCCCAGGACTCTCGAATGTCCCAGAGAATTCCCAGCTTCTCCATCTCTTGGTCGACCCAGTCAAGCTCCTTGTACGTCTGCGGCTCAATACCGAACAGCTCCAACTTCGGTAAGAACTCCTCCTCCATCTGCCGCTTTGTTTGCTGCTGCGCGCGGAAGTCGTCGAGAATGCTCACAGCAGTGTCGCTGGTGATGCCCTCGCTCTTGTAAGGGGCGCGCCTCTGAAAGTCGACTTTAGCGTCCTTGACATTTTGCAAGAAATTGATAAGCTCCTGCTCGAGACCTGCCTTCATCTTTTTCTTCTCCTTATTGATCCGGATGTCTGCCTCTACGAGGGTGCTGCGGAACTCCTCCATGGCGGGCCGCATTTGTGCCTTCTTCGCCAGCTCGCTGTCCGGAGGGGTGACCTCGAACTCCTGCAGCTTCGCGTACTTGTCCTCGATCGGCTTGATTTTATCCTCCATCGTCTCGTCGTCCTTGCGGCACTGCTCGAGCAGCTGCATGCGCGCTTTGAGCTCGTCCATGTCTTGAATTTCAGAATCTGCAGACTCCCGATCGCCGGGGGAGGAAAAGATTGTGAAACATGTGGCTGTCTCCCTCCTCTTTCACAATTCCGTTAGAAAGAGGGGGGCCCAGGGGGTTGTACGAGCTCCCCAGCGTACCTCCGTGGTCCTCGGAGGCTCCATATCCACCCACCGCGGCCCTCAAGGCCAAGATGCCTCCAATGCCCCATTAGATTGCTCAAGAAGGGCTCAAAGGCGTCAGGGAGGCCTCCAAGGTGGCCTCAAGACGCACCAGGACGCGGAAGTCGCCCAGAGAAGGCCCAAGAGAACCAAAGAGATAGTCTCACGATGCCCCAATCACTGATTCCCACTGGTTTTTGAATGATGTTCACATTCTTGCTTCGTCATGCTGTTCGACCCCGAGACGGCCCGAGACGCTCCCCCAGATTTGCCCAAGACAGCCGAAGAGGCGCCCAAGAGAGCCCGGAGATTGCCAGATGGCCCTGAAACTGCCCAAAAGGCACCCAAGACTGCCTAAAAGGACCCAAATAGGACCCCGAGAGGGGCCGGAGAGATTCAAGAGGGAGAATCCGTAGGGGCCTCCAAGACGCACATCATGCCCCAGAGATACCCCCAAAGATCTTCAAGGACTCAAGAAGCCCGCAGAGGGCCCCCCAGCAGACCTCAGGAGCGCGAGAAGACTCCCAAGAGGCCGCCCTCGAGGACGCCAAGAGGCCCCCGCGAAGCCCCGGCACAGACGCGAAGAGGACACGCCAGAAACAACTACACGCAAGCAGCCCGACGGGACGCGGCAAATGATGCATACGACATCGGAAATAGCACATCTCCTTATCTGGGGGTCGTCGGAATGGCGTAAGCCTCTTGACTGGAATATGTTGGTATTAGTTTCGAAAACCTCCAGTAACTTGTTCATTTCAGTGCGGGCATCCTCGTTTAGCAGATCGGTGAGCTTGTGCTGCCACTCTTGGCAATGTTCCATGAGCTTTGTTTTCAGCGGTGTGAAGTCAGTCTCGATGAACTCTTGGATATGCTTTGGGGGTTCGTTCTCAATGTCCTGAGCAGTATCCTTGTATTTCTCGATGTCCTGTCCAATGATGGTGAGCGACCTCTGCTGCTTCTTGTATCGCCTGATGAAGGTGTCCTTGTCCTGCGAAACGATCTGCTGAAACATACTGCTCCACCACTTGAGCTTCTCGCCGAGCCTCACCGCACACTGGTTCAAGCCTTTCAAGACATCCTTGATATATTTGATACAACACTCCTCATCCGATGAGATGATCTCGTAGAAACTTTTCTTGGTCTTTTTCGCAGGATCCAAAAAACTTTGAATTTTGTCGATCTGGATGGCATTCGCCTGCGCGAAGTCACCGGCATCTTCGAGCTGAACCTTACGGGCTTTGGCCTTCTCCGTGGAAACAGCCACTAAGTGCTCCCCTAGGCGAGGGACTACATTGAGCGTCATGGTCATGTCACGGCAAGCTGAGTGCACGAGATCTTTGAGCTGTTGCATGGGCGGGCTGAAATCCATTTTGGTATCGTCCAGGACAGCCTGAATCTTGAAGAGCGGCGCTGGCTCAGTCTTGTTGTCCCCGTTGAGGGCCTTGCAGAGCTCCTGCAGACTTGTCTTTACAGTTTTCTTCAAGGCTTCCTCTATCTTCTTGTCTATCTTCTCCACATAGTTCTTCCACCATTCTCGCTGGATGTCCTGAGGGTGCGCCTCAAAATACTGGTATGAGCTCAGCATTAGCTCTGTAATCTTCTCGTGGTCCTCCCTGAATTTCTTCTGCGCCCACTCTCTGCGCTTCTCCTGCACGTCGCGGAACTCATCATCACGATGAACGGTCTTCTTCTCAATCTTGATCAGGTGCATCTCTGACACCTGCCTGCAAATGCCAAGGATCTCGGCATGGTTCCTCTGAAACTGCTTCACAAAGTCGTACACCTTCGCGCACTCCTTGCAGCTCTCTTTCACAAAGAGGTCCTTGATCAAGGTTCCCTTGTCCCACGTGTACTTGTTGAGGCCAGGGCCGATCTTGCGATCCAGAGTGCGGATGTGGTGGTTGAACAGACGCTTCTCCTCGGGAGCCAGGGCCAGCAGGATTTGGTTGTAGTCACGAACCACGCGCAGGACGTGCTCGCGGGTCACCCGCAGCGCGTCGCGCTGAGAGGCCAGCTCGTGGGCAGCGTAGGGCACTACGATGCCACTGCCCTGGATCTTCTCCCAGTAGTACACCTCTTGGAACATCTTCAGCAGCTCCTTATCGAAGTTCGACTCCAGCATGCCCTGCTTGGTGCGGGCCATTAGGGTCACGTTCTCATCCGGCCGAGTGAGCAAGCCCTTCATGAGACGCTTTTGCAGATCACTCTCTGTTTCCATGCCTTTGAGCTCTGAGACCCATTCCTTGAAGGTGTCCAACACGAACTTCTCCATGCTCGTATGGATATTGTTATACCCCTCCTTCGAATTGTCGTGATCGCGGCCGGGGTCAAGGTAGCACAGCAAATTCAGCTCCTCCATCTGCCGCTGCAGCCGCAACATCAGGCCTTTCACTGCCAGCGCTGTCCCGGCATAATTCGGGTGGCCTTGGATGATTGGCAGCAGTGTCGGAACCGTCGTCTGGCGCCTGAACTTATCGAGCTCGGCCTTGATGCTGTTGGTCTCATTCGTCAGCAGCTGGTGCAGGTGCTCGCCCTTCTTGCTCACGTGGGCTTTGATGCGCTCACGCTTGGCCAGGAGATAGAACCCATCCAGGACCTCGACCGCAGACTGCACTGTTCCAACGCCGTCGAAAGCGTTGTTGATGACATTCGTGTACATAACCTCGAGATCTCTCATCTGCTTCTTGAACATTGTGAAGTCGTCCTGCCACTTTCCCGCACGCACGTCCAGGACGTCGTAGTCCACGTTCTCCAAGCGGCGCAGATTCGTCAAGAACTGCTTCTCGATTACGCCTAGCTCCTGGGGATATTGACAAGCCGTGGCGTTCCTGGGATGTGCTGCGCCAAGGCTCCCGAGGCGAATCCAGCCGTAGCGACGGGGGCCCCTGAGCGGGCTCAGAAAGGATAATACGAGGAGACGGCATCGGCATCGGCGAGTTTCTCTCCTCGGAGATCCTTCATGGTTTCTGGTGCTCGGGTTCCCCCAAAGATGGGGCTCTGGCCGGCGCTCTCGCGAGCAGACGTGACGAACTGCTGCTGCCCCTCGCAGACCTCCAGGAGGTCGCAGCAACGCTGCACGAAGGCGTCGATCTGGGGGAAGATGGCCCCCTCCTGGGAGGTCCACGGGGTGTCCGTGTTCTTCTCGATGATACGTACCGTGTTGAGGTAGACCGCCTTCCAGTCCCGTCCGCAGTCGATGGACTGCTGCAACTGAACCATGGAGGACTCGACCTTCCCCTGGAATATGTCCGAGAGCTCGATTGTTGCCTGACAGCGCCGGATGATCTCGTTGCTAATCGTCCTCAGAAGACTGGAGATCCGCTCCTCGGACCGGTAGTGCGTCGAGATCTGCCAGATCATGCGGACGTAGTTGAGCAGCTGGGGCAGCAGCTTGGGGATCTCCGGTGGCTTGGCCTCCGCGAGCTTCTCGCATGGCTCCTTGAGGAAACTCAAGAACTTCAGATTCTCCTTGGCCTCGATGGACCCGTGCTTGATTCTCTCCTCGAGTTCCTTGAAATGCTTCAGGTAGTCAGATTTCGCGTGCTCGAGGATGGTCAGTATCCTTTGAAGCCTGGCACTTTGGAGCTGCTCGTGCAGCCCTGAGAGGTTGTTGTCTCGCGCATGCCAGAACTCAATTTCGTGCAGAGGCCCGTTGTACTCGCCCTCTGTCGTCGAGTCATGCTGTGTGGTGACCTCCTTGATCTGTCTAGTCCAGTGGATGAGGCATATTTCTAATCTCTGCACTACATCCTTGTCCTTCGAGGCCGCATCCACGTTGCTGAAGTTGTCCTGTGGAATGTAGAGGACAGTCTTGCCCTTCGCCTGGAAGCTCATCTCCGTCACCGTGGACATGAACTTCTGCACCTGCGAGGTGAAGTCCTTCTTCACGTTGTCAGGCCAGCCGTTGTCCGCCAGCGCCACTGGAACATAAACCTGGCTCATCATCCCCAGCAGGGAGTCCAAGAGGTCCCCTCGCGAGCAGCCGAAGAGCACCGCCTCGCTCAGATTCTGTGGGGTGATCTGCGCGTTGGCGTCCCGCTTGAAGAAATACATGAACTCCTTCACGGTCCCCTGTCGGATGGGCGCCGGAAGCCTGTCCTTCGGAAGACCAAACGGTACCGATACTGCTGTATACTACCCATACCTCTCCCGGATGCAACCTGACCTGAATTTCGAGGCGAATCCAGCGGTGGCGACGAGGGCCTCCCAGGAAGCCAAAAGAGGGAAAACCGACCTCCTCCTCTTCCACATCCTCCTCCTCCTCCTCATCCTCCTCCTCCTCCTCCTCCTCCTCCTCCTCTGGGTACTTTTCCTCCTCTGAGTCCTGGACCTTGCCCTCGGACTCCCCTCGCCGGGACATTGGCACTAGGGTGAGGGCGGGGTCGCCGTCGCCCATCCACATGAACAGGGTCTTCTGCTCTGGCTCTTCGAGCCATCCCTGCACCTCCAGGGTGTTGCTATCCTGCCAGTGCTCCTCTGGGCTGAAGCCCTTGAGCTGCATGCGGGCCCAGAAGAAGGTGCGGACTGCATCTGCGGAAAGCAGGTGCTCCATCGCAGCTTCTCCAGTCAGGGCCTCGCTGGAGGTGGCCGAAGATCGAGGCAAATTGCCTCTGCGAAACCGTGTCGCTTGAGCCACGAAGCCACAGGGCCCTGCTTGAGAAACCAACATATTTTGTTCCACGGCAGCGGAATCACAACAATTAAGGCTAAATTGCCACCTCTGCTACTGCTACCCTCGCATTTCTGCTGCTACACGTGCGTGAGCAACTGCTGCTGCTGCTGCTGCAGAAATGATGATACGCGTGACGCGATCCCGAAGCGTATATCCTGACATGCGTGGTCCTTGCTACTAGAACGTTGCTACCCCCTCCGTCGATATCAGTCGCAACCTCGCCCTCGCTCGCAACAACACACATAACACCATTCCTGACAGATCCACTCCCCATCGAGACCCACTCTCACACGCTCGTTATCTCAAGAGGGCACCAGGATGGGCACAAGAGAAAGCCCAGCGGGGGGGAACCAGAAGGGGCCTCAGAAACCCTTCCCCCAAGAACCACAGATAACCCCCGAGATCGCCAGCAGCCCCCCAGAGGAATCCCCCAGGTCCCAAAGCCGCGCAGTGGCCGCCGAAACGGGCCGAGATGCTCCTGGAGGCTATTAAGTGGACCCCCAGGGGGTCGCCAGCAAGCTCCGGAGAAGCCCACACATAATTATGTGTATATATGTATATATGTATATACTAGAACCATCGCGCGCGCTTCGCGCGCGTTCAGGTTCTAGCAAGCCCCAGGCCTTGACGAATTCACTGCTCCACTGAAGTAGTGGACCACAGTCCACGCATGCCAATCTGCATTCCGAAAGGACTTCGAGGAAAATGGTTCTGTAGGGGGGCGGAAGTCGTATGAATCGGGTTCCCAGAAGGCCTTCTGGAAGTATGGGTTTGGGGCGTCTTGGGGAGCCTGTTGGGGCGTGCCGTCGTCGTCGTCGTCGTCGTCGTCGTCGTCGTCGTCGTCGTCGTCGTCGTAATGTCATCGTCGCCTATTGGGGCGCGCCGTCGTCGTCGTCGTCGCCGCCGCCGCCGCCGCCGTCGTCGTCGTCGTCGTCGTCGTCGTCGTCGTCGTCGTCGTCGTCGTCGTCGTCTTCGTCGTTTCGTCGTCGTCGTCGTCGGTTCAAGACAGCACTTGGGCCAATTTTCTGCGAAACGATCTGCGGAGGGCCGCGAGAAGGCGATCAGTCATGTTCCCAATCAACTTCCCAGACAGCTCTCCTGTAGCATGATGGTACTTCGAAGCCTCCAGAGACTCGCGTGCCCATGATGAACCATGTCCCTGGAAGGCTTTCTGGGGACATGGTTTGTTGGGGTGTGTTGGGGGGTCTCTTGGGCGTTCCCTGGGGGCCCCTTGGGGGCCTCCGGGAACTCTCGGGCCGATGAACCATGTCCCCGGGAGGTTTTCTGGGGACATGATTTCTTGGGGTGTGTTGGGGGGTCTCTTGGGCGTTCGCTGGGAGCCCCTTGGGGGTCTCTTGGGGCTTCCTGGGGGCCTCTTGGGCGCCTCACGGGGCTTCGTGGGAGCCTCTTGGTGGCCTCTGGGGGCCTACAGGCGGCCTCTAGGGCCAAAGGCCTCGAAATATCGGTTGGCGGTCCCCCTCTGGGCCCTCTCTTCAAAAGCTCTTGGGGCACAGTTGGTTTGTCTGGGGAGCCTCCTGGGCCGTCTTGGGGCCCTCTTCGGGGCCTCCTGGCCCGTCTTGGAGCGATCTGAAGGGCCTCCGAGCGAGGCCGTGAGGGAGCGCTGGAAAGCGGGGAAAGCAAGAATGCCTAAATCCTTCAAAAATTATCGGACAAATAATGCATCTTGCCTCCCAGGGCCCTCTTGGGGAGCCTCTTGAGTCCGTCCTGGAGCGTGTTCGAGTCCTCGTCGGCCGTCTTGAGGGCAGCTTGGGCGTCTTCGGGGCCTCGTGGGACCGACCGTCTAGGGCCCTCTCGGGACCTCCATTAGCCTGTCGTGGCCTGCTTCGTGGCGGGCCCGGGCCGCCTCGGGACCCCTCTGGGCCATCTCTTGGCGCGCTCTTGGGGGACACTTGGGTTGTCTGGGGAGCATCCTCGACCGTCTTGGGGCCCTCCTCGGGGCCTCGTGGGCCTTCTTGGAGCGATCTGAAAGGCCTCCTTCTTGGAGCGATCTGAAAGGCCTCCGGGGCCGTGAGGGAGCGCTGGAAAGCGGGAAAAGCGAGAACGCCAAAATCCAAAACACTCGGAAAACGAGTGAATCTTGCCTTCAAGGGCCCTCTTGGGGAGCCTTTTGAGTCCGTCCTGGAGCGTGTTGGAGTCCTCGTCGGCTGTCTTGAGGGCATCTTGGGCGTCTTCGGGGCCTCGTGGGACCGTTTTGGGTCCTCTCGGGACCCCTTTAGCCTGTCGTGGCCTGTTTCGGGGCGGGCTCGGGCCGCCTCGGGAGCTCTGGGCCCCCCCCCCGTGGGCACCGATGGGGGGAACAGGCAGCGGCACGCCCCCCCCCCCGTAGAGAATCATGTTCCCGGGAAGCTTTCCGGGAGCATGATTTGTTCGGCTCTCTAAGAGGGGGGCCTCTGGGGGCTTACTGAGGGGCGCCTTTTGGCCTTGTCGGCAAGCCTATTGGAAACATGGTTGGGGCGGCGGGCAGAGACCCCAAGGAATCATGTTCCCGGAAAGCTATCTGGGAAATACGATCTACCGAAGTGTTTTGGGGGCCCGCAAGGGGCTTCCCTGGGGGTCCCTTGGGGGCCTATTTGGGCTTCCAGGGGGCCTCTTGGGAACATCACGGGGCTTCTTGGGAGCCTCTTGATGGCCTCCGGGAGCGTCGTAGGAGCCTCTCAGGTCGGAGACCTCGAAATGTCGCGCACTTCGGGCCCTCTTGGGTCGCTCTTGGGGCTCTCTCGGGGCGCTCTCGAGGCCCTCTTGACTTATCTGAGGAGCCTCCTGGGCCGTCTCTGGGCTTTCTTGGGAGCCTCTTCGGCCGTCTTGGAGCGATCTGAAGGGCTTCTGACGCGGTCCGGGATCGTGGGGAGGCGGAACATGGGAAAGCGCAAGAATGCTTCAAATATCCCGGCAAAGCAACCTAACAGCGATGTGTAGAAGCATAGATCGAAATATTGCCTGTGGTATTCATGTAAAGAGTGCTGTTGTAGAATTCTGGTGTTCTCGCAGTCGCATTCGGATTCGCAGTGGCAGTCGCAGTGGCAACATCAGTGGCAGTCGCAGTGGCACTGCCAGTAGTTGCAGTAGCAATCGCTACACTAGCAGCAGCAACAGCAGCAGCAGCAGTACTAGTAACAGTAGTAGTAGCAGTAGAAGTAGTAGTGATGGTAGTCGTGGTAGCAGTGAAGTAGTAGTTGTAGTGTGTGGAATGAACGAGTAGGAGTGATGGGAGCAGTGGTAATAGCAGTAGAAACATTGTTTTCGATAGCGGTCTCTCCAAATGAGATCTTTGTATAAATGCAAAGAGGTCTAAACAAGACACTGCTATTAAGATACATGCATTGATGGTCCGAGAATCGTTTGGCCAACTTGTTTTCGGCCCGTTCTTGTCCGGACGTTCCTTTATTTCGCTTCGGTATCCGGCCGAACTGCTTCACGTGCTCGACGAGCGTTTGCAGAGGACCGCTCAATGCAGCACGCTGAAGAGCAGCGCTGCTCCCTGCCGCAGGCTGAAGAGCACCGCTGTTCAATGCAGCAGGGTCAGGAACACCGCCGCCAGACCGAGAACTATCAGCATGTCCTGGCATTAAGGTGTGCAGTAGGCGCTGCGCAGTTCCTTTGAAAAGGAAATCTTCGTAAACAGGGCTGCAGCCAAGAAGGCTACGGGGACGATGGTGATGATGATGATGAAGATGATGAGTCTTGGAAGTCTGGGAAGTGGAAGAGCACGAAGTGGCGTACAGTTGGCTCCGGGCATTCAACATGTTGCCCCGGAGTGGAGTTCTGGGAAGTGGAAGAGCACGAAGTGGCCTACAGTTGGCTCCGGACATTGAAAATGTGCCCGGGAAAAATGTTTTGGGAAGTCCAAGAGCACGAAGTGGCCTACAGTTGGCTCCGGGCATCCAAAATGTGGCCCGGGAATGGAGTTCTGGGAAGTCGAAGAGCACGAAATGGCCTACAGTTGGCTCCAGGCATCCAAAATGTGGCCCGGGAATGGAGTTCTGGGAAGTCGAAGAGCACGAAGTGGGCTACAGTTGGCTCCGGGCATTCAAAATGTGGCCCGGGAGTGGAGTTCTGGGAGGTCGAAGAGCACGAAATGTGCGACTATTTGCTTAAAACGAGCCCGGCCCTCGCCTGTCCGGCTCCCGCCCAGACCCCCCTGGGGAGTCATCAGATGCTCTCTTTTGGCTCCATTAGAAACCTATCAATCTTCGCTGTTAAGTAAAAACCATAAGACAATTTATGATTTTCGGCTTCTGGGGCCCCTGGAAGC